ACTCTACACTGCTGACGCACCTCAAACCCATGGTGTCAAACTGCATTCATGCTACACTGGTGATGCACCTAGAACCCATGATGTCAAACTGCATTCATGCTATATTATGGATGCACATAGAACACATGGTGTCAACCTGTATTCATGCTACTCTGTAGATGCACTTAGACCCTGTGGTGTCAACCATGTATTCATGCTACTCTGTAGATTACCAAGAACCCTTGGTGTCAAACTGCATTCACTCTACACTATACATGCACCTAGAACCTGTTGTGTCAACCTGCATTCATTCTATGCTGTATATGCACCTAGAACCTGTGGTGTAAACTGCATTCATGCTACAATGTAGGTGCACCTAGAACCCGTGGTGTCAACCTGCATTCATGCTACTCTGTAGATGCACCTAGAACCCATGATGTCAAACTGCATTCATGCTATATTATGGATGCACATAGAACACATGGTGTCAACCTGTATTCATGCTACTCTGTAGATGCACTTAGACCCTGTGGTGTCTACACTATAGATGCACCTAGAATATACCAAACTAGAAGGTATATTAAAGCACAGCACTTACAAATGCAACTCCTCCGGTCCTCATCCAGTTTGTAGCCAATCTGACAACTGCAGTGGAAAGAGCCAACAAGGTTTTGGCACAAGTGTTCACATCCTCCATTACTGGAAGAGCACTCATCCACATCTTGAAAACAAACAAAAAATGGGAGTTGTGAGTTTCTATAATAAGAAGTAAGGGAATTGATTAATAACTAGAGCCATCTAGAAGTCCTCTATATGATTGTTTTCATTCTTCTTCTACAACTGAAAAGGGAGGAAAGAATTACCTGCATTCTTCTATATTTTTAGTGTTTTGGGAGAAGAAATGAAGAAAAGGAGGCAACCCAACACATTTAATCACCAATTTTGGGTTGGAGTAGGAGCCCAAGTGAGAATTTCTACCTACCATCACAGCCGCAACCCTCAGTGTTGAGTCTGTAGCCAGCATAGCAAAGGCATTCATAGCCTCCTGGGTAGTTGTAACAGTCCTGCTGGCAGCAGTGAGAACCAGCAGTGCATTCATCAGTATCTGGAGAAAGGAAGAAAGCAAAGGTTTCAAGGGGTGGGAAATATCAACTAAGATCCTTAAATCTGCGTGTAGGAGCTATTTTCAAAGGGTTATCTCTTCTTAGGATAGTCAGTTTTCCATTAAGCTTCACAAAGTCCCATTAGGAAATGAAACAGATGATTTCCTTACCCCCATCACACCCTTATCCTTCTCCGCTTTCTTTAGGATTTATTGGTTTGATTTCCCATCACACGGTTTCCTCCTACTGTCCATCACTGCTTACTTTCTTTTTTAACTGTTTTTTAATCTTGGGAGTTTTAATTTAGAGCCCAAAAAACTCACAACAACATATATAAAGGGATTATTATTAGTTGCAGAATTGAGAACAGGAGGGAGGGGAAAATGAAGCTTTAGCTCTCTTATGTCTCTCTCTGCTAGCCTTTTGATAGGCAAAACAAAAGCCTGAGTTCCAGAGAGGCAATTGAGTTCAAAAGGACTTTTATGACCTAGAAGGGAGAGAACACAGGAAGAGAGAGCTTGTTAAGGTTACAGAGGCACTAGAACACTGGTTCTCAACTTTCCTAATGCCGCAATTTCTTAATACAGTTCCACATGTCATGGTGAACCCCAACCATAAAATTATTTTTGTCGCTACTCCATAACTGTAATTTTGCTACTGTTATGAATCGTAATGTAAATATCTGATATGCAGGATGTATTTTCATTCACTGGAGAAATTTGGCACAAATACCCAATATGCCCCAATTTGAATTCTGGTGGGGTTGGGGGAGGGATTGATTTTGTCATCTAGGAGTTGTAGTTGCTGGGCTTTATAGTTCACCAACAGTCAAAGAGCAATGTATTGTCAAAGGCTTTCATGGCTGGAATCACTAGGTTCTTGTGGGTTTTTTCGGGCTATAGAGCCATGTTCTAGAGGCATTTCTCCTGACGTTTCGCCTGCATCTATGGCAAGCATCCTCAGAGGTAGTGAGGTAGTGACCTCACTACCTCTGAGGATGCTTGCCATAGATGCAGGCGAAACGTCAGGAGAAATGCCTCTAGAACATGGCTCTATAGCCCGAAAAAACCCACAAGAACCTAGTCAAAGAGCATTCTGAACTCCACCAAAAAGGGAATTGAACCAAACTTGGCACCCATAACTCCCATGATCAAGAGAAAATAGTGGAAGGGTTGGGTGGGCATTGACCTTGAGTTTTGGAGTTGTTGTTCACCTACATCCAGAGAGCACTGTAGACTCAAACAAGGATGGATCTGCACCAAACGTGGCATGGATGCTCAATATGCCCAAGTGTGAACACTGGTAGAGTTTTGGGAAAGTAGACCTTGACATTTGGGAGTTGTAGTTCCTGGGATTTATAGTTCATCTACAATCATAGAGTATTCTGAACGATCAATGGTAGAATTGGGACAAACATCCTACACAGAACCGCCATGACCAACAGAAAATACTGTGTTTTTTGGTGGTCTTTGGCAAACCCTCTGACACACCCTCACAACTCCCCCAGAGGTACCGAACCCCAGTTTGAGAAACGCTGGAAAACTATGACTCCCAAGACTGCACAGCATGAAGACATGGCATCATCATCATTACTATTATTATTATTATTATTATTATTATTATTATTATTATATAACGATATGAAGAATTAAAGATCGAACTGCAAAGACTCTGGCACAAGCCAGTCAAGGTGGTCCCAGTGGTGATCGGCACACTGAGTGCACTGCTTAAAGACCTTGGCCTGCACTTAAACACAATCGGCGCTGACAAAATTACCATCGGCCAGCTGCAGAAGGCCACCTTACTGGAAACTGTACGCATTATTTGCCAATTCATCACACAGTCCTAGGCACTTGGGAAGTGTCCGACGTGTGATCCAATACAACAGCCAGCAGAGTGTCTGCTGTGGACTCATCTTGTTGTGTTAATAATAATAATAATAATAATAATAATAATAATAATAATAGCAACACTTGGGAAGTGTCTGACGTGTGATCCAATACAGCAGCCAGCAGAGTGTCTGCTGTGGACTCATTTTGTTGTGTTAATAATAATAATAATAATAATAATAATAATAATAATAATAGACACTTGGGAAGTGTCCGACGTAATAATCCAATACAACAGCCAGGAGAGTGTCCGCTGTGGACTCATCTTGTGGTGTTTCAAATAATAATAATAATAATAATAATAATAATAATAATAATACAACACTTAGGAAGTGTCCAACGTGTGATCCAATACAACAGCCAGCAGAGTGTCTGCTGTGGACTCATCTTGTTGTGTTAATAATAATAATAATAATAATAATAATAATAATAATAATAATAGCAACACTTAGGAAGTGTCCGACGTGTGATCCAATACAACAGCCAGCAGAGTGTCTGCTGTGGACGCATCTTGTTGTGTTGATAATAATAATAATAATAATAATAATAATAATAATAATAATAGCAACACTTAGGAAGTGTCCAACGTGTGATCCAATACAACAGCCAGCAGAGTGTCTGCTGTGGACTCATCTTGTTGTGTTGATAATAATAATAATAATAATAATAATAATAATAATAATAATAATAAAAACACTTTAGAAAGTGTACGTGTGATCCAATACAACAGCCAGCAGAGTGTCTCCTGTGGACGCATCTTGTTGTGTTGATGATGATAATAATAATAATAATAATAATAATAATAATAATAATAATAATAATTTATTTATTTATTTGCTTTATTTCTATACCGCATTTTTCAGCCCGGTTAGGCGACTCAATGCGGTTTACATAATACAAGTTATCACAACAATATCATAAGCAATTAAAACACATTATACATAACAGACAAAATCAAAAACAATCATTATCATATCATAATGCCTCAATAGCAAATCAGAATCCGTTCTCATAATCCTTGTACCATTTTCCTATGTTTGATTTTACCGTCTTCCTATGTTCAGTTGCACTGTTTAGCCAAAGAATGCTCGTTCCTACACTTGAATCCAAAGTAATGTGATGAACACAGTGGCTTACCACATTTTAAGTGTAGCACTTAGGGCTGGGCAGTTTCGTTTCGTAATTTCGTAATTCGTTAAAAATTCGTTATTTTTTTTTGTTACGAAGCGATAACGAACCATTCAGGAGCATCTAAAAAACGAAACGAATTTTTCAATTCGTTTCGTAATTGCTTCGTATTCGTTTCGAAATCGTTTCGAAATCGTTTCGTTATTATTTCCGCATGTCTGGGGCAAGTTTTATAGCTGTTGTTTGTTTAATCAGTGAAAAAAAATTATAAATATCACACCAACAGTCAACAACAGAGGGAGAGGGAAGCTTCAGAAGTTCCCCCTGTCCCATATGGAGGTTTTTTAGCGTATTGCGCGGTCGCGTCCGCCATTAACGAATCGATTCATATTTGTTTCGTATTCGTTTCGTATTGTTTTGTAATTTTACGAAATTTCGTAAATATCGAACTTTTTAAAAGAAAAATTTCGGAATTCTTTTAAATATCGAAACGCAAAAAACCCCAAAAAACGAATCGAGTTTAGAAACAAATTTTTCCGTGGTTGCCCAGCCCTAGTTTAGTCATTGTGATGAAATGGTGGGTCTGTCTTCTCTCCATAGAATGATATGACCCTAAGTCCATAATTTGTGCCCCAAAATGTGCCCCCAACTTACATGTGAGGCCATCTTGTAAATGAGTACAGACAACCCCTTATTTACGAACTTACCGATGCAAGTTTTCTGGTCTTCATCCAGCCGGTATCCCAAGTTGCAGCTGCAGGAGGGGCCAGAGCTGGTGTGATGGCAGAGGTGGGAGCAGCCACCGTTGTTGGTCTCGCAACTGTTCACAATTTCCATTTCTATTCCTGGAAAAGTAAATAAAAGGAGGGAAACAACAGACAAGCTGGAAATAACAATGCAAGTAAAGATCTCAAATTTGGTTTTGCATTCTCCTCCTCTATGACTTTTAGGAGGACTACCTTCACCTTGAAGGAGCTGGGGGTGGTGACGGCCAACAGGGAGCTCTGGCGTGAGCTGGTCCATGAAGTCACAAAGAGTCGGAAACGACTGAACGAATGAACAACAACAACACCTTCACTTTCCTGTAAAACAAATATGCAGCTCACAAACTAGATCGAGTTGTGGGACCACTGTTGGCACAATGGGGTAAACCCTTATGCTGCTGAATCTGCTGACCTGAAGATTGGCAGTTCGAAGCCGCGGGACAGGGTGAGCTTGTCAGAGATTGGCGATCCCCAATGGAAGGAATGCTAGATCAAGCAGACACTGAGTTGCAAAATAAGGACTCTGCAAGCTTCGAGTTACAAAAGAAACTAAGTTTACTAAGTACATACATCTGACACGTCTTTCTACAGCGAGCTACAATTCAGGAAGAACAAAGAACTACTCAAAACCGAAAGCCTCTTCACATCTGCTTATCTTCTCTTGCTGAGACTGGCAACTCCCTTCTGTTCTCAGTAAGAACAAACCTTATCTTACTTTTTCAAGTTCACTTAATCACAGCCTCAAGGTATAAACATTTCTGCTCGCATTTTCAATTCACAGTGGCATCCATCTTGAAAAACACATACATAACTAAATTAATCCTGATAGAGCTCTCGCTGTTAGCCCTAGCTCCTGCCAACCTAGGAGTTTGAAAACATGCAGGGTTTTTTTTCCCCGTGTCAGGAGTGACTTGAGAAACTGCAAGTCGCTTCTGGTGTGAGAGAATTGGCCGTTTGCAAGGATGTTGCCCGGGGAATGCCCAGATGTTTTTGATGTTTTACCATCCTTGTAAGAGGCTTTTCTCATGTCCCCGAATGGGGAGCTGGAGCTGACAGAGGAAGCTCATCCACGCCGTCCCCAGATTTGAACCTCTGACCTATCAGTCTTCAGTCGTGCTGGCACTATAAGAAGGACCTTCTTATAGTAACACCTAAGGCACTCCAAGTGGCCAGCTACGGGTTAAAGGACATTTCATCAACTACCAAGCTTGCAAACTTTGTGGTTTGTTTGTTTGTTCAAAAATGCAATACAACCGTTTGGCTTACTCCTGACATGATAAATAAATAAAATACTAAGATAGAATAGAGGGGTAGCATGATTTCCCTGGAACTAGACACTACATTCCTATTTATGCAGGCTAAAATCCCATTGGCTTTCCATTTTTTAAGGTTTTTAAGCCACTGCCAGAAGGGACAGAGAGTTTCATCTATGCTGATGATCGTGCCATTACTGCTCAAGCAGGGAACTTTGAGACGGTAGAACAGAAGCTCTCCGAAGCTCTAGGTGCTCTTACTGCCTACTACAGGGAAAACCAGCTGATCCCTAATCCATCTAAAACACAGACATGTGCTTTTTCATTTAAGAACAGACAAGCATCCCGAGCTCTGAGTATTACCTGGGAAGGAATCCCACTGGAGCATTGCAGCGCACCCAAATACCTGGGAGTCACTCTGGACCGTGCTCTGACCTACAAGAAGCACTGCCTGAACATCAAGCAAAATGTGGGTGCCAGAAACAATATCATACGAAAGCTGACTGGCACAACCTGGGGATCACAACCAGATACAGTGAAGACATCTGCCCTTGCGCTGTGCTACTCTGCTGCGGAGTATGCATGCCCAGTGTGGAACACATCTCACCACACTAAAACAGTGGATGTGGCTCTTAATGAGACATGCCGCATTATCACGGGGTGTCTGCGCCCTACACCACTGGAGAAATTACACTGCTTAGCCAGTATTGCACCACCTGACATCCGCCAGGAAGTAGCAGCCAATAGTGAAAGGACCAAGGCAGAGACATCTCCAGCTCATCCCCTGTTTGGGTATCAGCCAGCACGTCAACGACTTAAATCTAGAAATAGTTTTCTAAGATCTACACTCGCTGGAACACCCCAGCAAGCAAGAGTCCAAAAGTGGCAGGCTCAAACCCAGCACCTCAACCAATGGCTGATACCAAATGAGGGACTCCCCCCTGGGCACACAGAGGACTGGGCGACTTGGAAGGCGCTGAACAGACTGCGCTCTGGCACCACGAGATGCAGAGCCAACCTTCAGAAATGGGGCTACAAAGTGGAATCCTCGACATGCGAGTGTGGAGAGGAGCAAACCACTGACCACCTGCTGCAATGCAACCTGAGCCCTGCCACATGCACAATGGAGGACCTTCTTGCAGCAACACCAGAAGCACTCCAAGTGGCCAGATACTGGTCAAAGGACATTTAACCAACTACCAAACTCACAAGTTTTGTATTTGTCTGTCTGTTTGCTTTGCTGTTAGAAATGTAATATAATGGAATGGTTGCTCTGACACGACAAATAAAATAAATAAGCAAAGGTTGGATGGCTATCTGTTGGGAGGACTTTGATTCTGTCTTCTTGCATTTTGAGAAGGGGGTTGGATTGGATGGCCTTTGGGTTCTCTTCCAACTCTAGGATCCTATGGTTCCCTTCCAAAGTCTATCCAGCAAGAAATCTATCACTGGTGCAAATAATGCCTTATGTCAGTGTTCTCTCCGTTTCCACAAGGAGAGGAGACGGTGAGGATGCGCAATACTCACGGTAACACTGCTTGCCGTCCGCCCCAAGTTCATATCCCAGGTTGCAGGTGCATTTGAAGGAGCCACGGGTGTTCAGGCAACCATGGGCGCACATGGCCATTCTGAGCGCACACTCATTCACATCTGGGCAAGGAGAAGGGCAAAAGGAGTAATAGAACACCTATATTGATGTGCCAGTGATGTTCCTTCAAAAAGTTGACCACTTTCAGCTGCTGAGTTTGCAGACCAGAGAAGAAAAGAATGGATTATCTATGCAGCTGAAGGGGTAGAGAGGTTATTTATTTATTTATTTATTTATTTATTTACAGCATTTCTTCCCCATCTTTCTCTAACTTGGAGGGGACTCAAGGCGGAGTTTCATCTATGTTGATGATTGTGCCATCACTGCGCAAGCAGGGAGCTTTGAAATAGTTGAACAGAAGCTCTCTGAAGCTTTAGATGCTCTTACTGCCCGTTACAGGGAAAACCAGCTGATTCCTAATCCATCTAAAAAGCAGGCGTGTGTTTTCACCTTAAGAACAGACAAGCATCTCAAGCTCTGATAATTCCCTGGGAAGAAATCTCACTGGAGCATTGGAGCACACCTAAATACTTGCAGCACACAGCACACTGTGCTCTGACTTACAAGGGAGTCACTCGGGATCATGCTCTGACTTACAAGAATCACTGCTTGAATATCAAGCAAAAAAAAAAGTGGGTGCTAGAAATAATATCATACGAAAGCTGACTGGCACAACCTGGGGATCACAACCAGACACAGTGAAGACATCTGCCCTTGCACTTTGCTACTTTGCTGCTGAGTATGCATGGCCATTGTGGAATACATCTCACCACATTAAAACAGTGGATATGGCTCTTAATGAGACTTGCCGCATCGTCACAGGATGTCTACGCCCAGAACCGCTGGAGAAACTACACTGTTTAGCCAGTATTGCACCACCTGACATCCGCCGGAAAGTAACAGCCAATAGTGAAAGGACCAAGGCAGTGACATCTCCAGCCCACCCCCTGGTTGGGTATCAGCCAGCACGCCAACGACTAAAATCAAGAAATAGTTTTCTAAGATCTTCACTCGCTGGAACACCTCAGCAAGCGAGAGTCCAAAAGTGGCAGGCTCAAACCCAGCACCTCAATCAGTGGCTAATACCAAATGAGAGAATCCCTCCTGGGCACACAGAAAACTGGGCGACTTGGAAGGTGCTGAACAGACTGCGCTCTGGCACCACGAGACCATTCTTAACTCCAGCCAACCAAGACCATTCTTAACTCCATTGAACCAAACTTGGCATACAGAACTCCCATGACCAGCCGAACATACCGGAGAGGCTTGGGGAAAATACACATTGGCATTTGGAGTTACTGGGATATATAGTTTACCTGAAATTGAAGATAATCCTGGAGGGGTCCAGGCCTGGATCTGTTGGGAAGGCTGGCAAGCAACAAAAGCTGCACTGTGTGGCAAAAGTGGCGAGGGGCTTCGTGCGGGGATAGGCCGTACGGAGCAGCCTCCCTTGCCTGGCTCATGTTGCCCATCGGGCCTGATGGGCAGCGTGAGCCAGCCAAGAGAGGAGCAGCACCACACAGCCTTTCCTCGCAAGAAGCCCCTTGCCAGACACGGCTCATGCTGCCCATCGGGCGTGACGGATAGTGTGAGCCAGCCAAGAGAGGAGCACTGAGAGGGCACTGAGAGGATGGCTCCTCCTCCGCGGGCCGGATAAGTGCCCTTGGCGGGCCAGAAGTGGCCCACGGGCCGTAGTTTGAGGACCCCTGCTTTAAAGTCATTGAAAAGTTATTCATGACACTGGCAGGACATTGGCACAAAGAGGGACACAAGAGCAAAGAGAGAGCGGACGTACCTTCACAGGCTTTGCCATCAGCCGCCAGTCTGTACCCAGCGTGGCATTGGCAATGGGCTAACCCACGGCGGTTCTGGCACTTGTGCATGCAGCCACCGTTCCTGTTGTCGCATGGGTTCCTCACTAGGGAGACAAGAAGACAGAACATAAGTCAATGGGACAGGACCCTGAAGCAATTTCCACAGAAGTTTCAAACCCATGAACAAGACATTACCACCAGACCTCCTTCCTTTTAAAAAAAAAAATACATAACACATTTTTCACAATCTTAATATGTTATACATATCGACATATACATATCTAGCTTGAATAGGGGAAGGCCTGCTCTTTCTGAAAGATAGCAGCTCAGGGTTAGGGTAAAAGATCCCAGGATTTTTCTACCGTTGGGGGAAAGTTAACTCGGCAACTGAAGAAAAAGGGAAAGAAAGAACAGCTATATGGTTTCCCAAACTGACTGTTTGTGTTTGTAACTTCATCAAGCTGTGCCAAGTCTGTCAAGGACTTTGAGAAATAAATGTTCTGTTTGATGTTCAAATCTCGACTGGCCTCAGTTGCTGAGAATCTTGAGCTTCTAAGAAAGGCACCCGCGGTTCACCCGGATAAAGAGAGAAGCACACCTTAGTTTTAACTTTATAGTGTCTGGGTGTGATGGCACAATTTAACATTCCAGCTTCTGGCCACCAGGGGAGCTGTCATTTCACCGTCCGTTTGTGACACTGATGAAGTACTTCCTCATTCTTTTGATACTTCCTGGAGATTTTTATGACCTCGTAAATCGGTTAAATTACCCTCCCCACATAAGTGGTACCTAAATTTCCTACTTGACAGATGCAACTGTCTTTCAGACTGCAAAGATCGACAACAAGCTACACAATTTTGGCCAGGAGCTCACCCCAAACCGGGCTGGCTTCGAACTCATGACCTTTCGGTCAGTAGTGATCTTAATGCAGCTGACTCCCAGCCAGCTGCGCCACAGTCTCATGTCTCCATGAGGTGGTCTTGGGAATTGCAGTTTCCCAAGATCCATGAACCTTCTCTGGGTGCATCTATTTATTTACTATATCGATTTACAGTATTTATATCCCGCCCTTCCCACCCCGCAGAGGACTCAGGGCAGATTACAACGTACATATACATGGCAAACATTCAATGCCATAGACACACAACATATATAGACAGACACTCAGAGGCTATTTAACATTCCAGCTTCTGCCCACTAGGGGAGCTGTCATTTCACTGTCCGTTTGTGACACTGATAAAGTACTTTCCTCATTCTTTGCATACTTCCTGGAAATTTTTATGGCATCATAAATCAGTTAAATTAGCCTCCCCACATAAGTGGTACCTAAATTTCCTACTTGACAGACGCAACTGTATTTCAGACTGCAAAGGTCGACAACAAGCTACACCATTTTGGTTGGGAGCTCACTCTGACCCGGGCTGGCTTTGAACTCATGACCTTTCAATCAGTAGTGATCTTAATGCAGCTGACTCCCAGCCAGCTGCGCCACAGTCTCATGTCTCCATGAGGTGGTCTTGGGAATTGCAGTTTCCCAAGATCCATGAACCTTCTCTGGGTGCATCTACACTGTGAAATGAAGGCAGCTGGACCCTACTTTAAATTCCATAGCCCCATACTATGCAGTCCTAGGAGTTATAGTTTCCTAAGGTCCATACCCTTTTCTGTGGGGCAGCCGAAAGAGAGGGGGGGAGTGCATTGCCACTTTTCCTCCCTCCCTCCTTACTTGCTTCCTTCGCCAGTGGGGCAGTGGAGAGAGAAGCTAAGGGGGATTGAAAACGCATAACAGCTGACATTTCAAAAAGAGGAGGGTTTTTTTTTCAACAAAGAACATGGAAAGGGATGGTGGGCGAAGTCAAATCTCTACAGGGTTGCCAGGATTATTTAGTTATGGATGTGTGTTTTTCAATGTGTTTTTATGTAATTCAAGATGGATTCTATTCTGCTCTTTTGTGTATTAAACATGCTGGATGAGGCAGAGAAAATGTAACCTTGAGAGAAATGAGATAACGTGTTCTTTGGTTGGGAAGAAGAGGGAGGATCTGGTCTCAGCCAGAAGTCAGATAAGCAGATGTTCAGAAACTGTTGTGCTGTGCTTTGTAGTTCCTGATTGTAGCCCGCTGTGTGAAGGTGTATCTTATGTTGTTGTTGTTCATTCGTTCAGTCGTCTCCGACTCTTCGTGACCTCATGGACCAGCCCACGCCAGAGCTCCCTGTCGGCCGTCACTACCCCCAGCTCCTTCTTATATGTACTTAGTAAAGTTTAGTTTCTTTTGCCACTGTAAGACTGCAGAGTCCTGATTTTTGGAGTACTGTGTCTGTTGATCTAGCAAACCTTCCGCTGTGAACCCCCAAGCTCTGACAAGTGTGATGGCAAATCAATGGAAAGAATACTGAGTACAACTGATAGATTTAACAGTGTGATGAAGGTAGGGAAAACATCAGTTTCATTTCAACACTGAGCTCTACTCTGCCAAACACTCCCCTGCTTTAATGTGATGAAGCGGAAGGATTGTTGAATCCAGGGATTTATTTATTTTTTAGAAGGGGTCTCACCATTGCTTCTTTCAAAACATTGATGACCAAGCCTAAAGAGGCACCAATTAATTCCTTTTTCCAAATCACTCTCCATTTGGCTTTATTCGGTGCTGGTTCTTAGAAAGCAAAACAGCAGTGTATCTGCTATGCTTGGGCGATCAAAAATTGGTTCTAAACTCGTTTCGTTTCTAGGGTGCGCTAGTGTTTCGAAATTCTGAGGACTTCCGAAATTTAAGATTTCAAAATTTCGAAATTTCCGAAATTTCGAAATTACAAATCGATTCGTTAATGGCGGACGCGATTGCGCAATATGCTAAAAAAAACCTCCAAATGGGACAGGGGGAACTTCTGAAGCTTCCCTCTCCCTCTGTTGTTGACTGTTGGTGTGATAAAACACACAACAACTATATTATATTATATTATAAACGGTTCTGGCCCCACTTACCTCTCCGAATGCATCTCCACCTATGAACCGACTAGAACATTAAGATTGTGTGGGGAGGCCCTGCTCTCAGTCCCGCCTGCGTCACAGGCGCGCCTGGCGGGGACGAGAGACAGGGCCTTCTCAGTGGTGGCCCCTCGGCTATGGAATGCCTTACCGGTAGACATCAGACAGGCACCTTCGTTGCTGGCGTTTCGGAGAAAGGTCAAGACCTGGCTTTATGAACAAGCGTTTGGTTAAACAGTGCAACCGAACATAGGAAGACGGTAAATGGAACATAGGAATGGCACAAGGATTATGAGAACGGATCTGATTTCACTGAGGCGCTATGTTTTGATTTGTTAATTGTTGTTGATTGATGTTGTTGATTTTGTTGTTGCATTTGTTGCGTTTTTAATTGCACTGACATTGTTGTGATAACTTGTACCATGTAAACCGCATTGAGTCGCCTGTTTGGGCTGAAAAATGCGGTATAGAAATAAAGCAAATAAATAAATAATAAATATGGACAATTTCAACAGAAATTATAATATTATTATATTATATATTATTATAATAATATAATATAATATAATATAATATAATAATTTATTATATTATATATATTATATTATATTATTATATATTATATTATTATATATATTATAATAATATATAATATAATATAATATAATATAATATAATATAATATAATATAATATAATAATTTATTATATTATATTATATATATTATATTATTATATTATATTATTGTATATTATATTATTATAATATATTGTATTATATTATTATAATATAATTATAATATAATATAATAATATAGTATATAATAATATAATATATAATAATATAATATAAAATAATTGCACCAGACAGAAATAATTACGAAATAATTACGAAAATTGGAAAAATTGTTTCGATTCTTAATTACTCCTCACACTATTCCTGCATGGCTCGATATTGGATCGTAAGCTAATTTAAATACGAATTAATAACGAATAACGAAATTAACGAACTGGATCGCCCAAGCCTAGTATCTGCCCATCCAAACACCCAGGGAAGTCCCTTCAAATATCTTTTGTTGAAATGCCAGATACCACGGAGAAGCACAACCTGAACATCCCAGGAACCCTTCCTGTCTTATCATCTGGCGGAGTCCTGTTCTTGATTCGTCTCCTCTCTTTATGTCTCTTGCCTTTGCCATCCCAGACAGGCACAATTCCTCCTCCGCCTGTGAAGATGGACACAACAGTTTCTCTTCAAGAAACCGAACACTTCTCCACACCGGAGACTCCTGACCCGACGATTTCATTTGGCTTGGCTGGGTTCCATCTCCTTCGCAGCCAAAACATCCCCCGGAAGGTGTCCCAAAGAACATAAATATATGCCACTGGAGTGTGCTCTTAAACACAAATCGGCAACCCAATCCTGGTGCCTCGGCTCAGGGGACCATGAGGAATTTGCAACCATTTCCTGGCTGGCTGATCTCGCTCAGAAAGTGGGGAAACTGTCTCGGGAACCTTTCTGCAGCTAGGTTTTAATTGGGAGCCACAGGAGGGATGGAAACTCTGAGCCGGCGAAGAATGAGAAAATTAGAAATGCAGAAATGGAGTGTAATGACAAGGTTAATCATAGAATCCTAGAGCTGGAAGAGACCCTAAGGGCCATCCAGTCCAACCCCATTCTGCCAGGCTGGAAGGCACAATCCAAGCTCTCCCGACAGATGGCCATCCAGCCTTTGCTTTAAAACTTCCAGGGAAGGTTTTTGTTGTTTGTTTTTTTTTTTTTGTCGTGTCAGGAGCATCCTAGAATCATAGAATCAAAGAGTTGGAAGAGACCTCATGGGCCATCCAGTCCAACCCCATTCTGCCAAGAAGCAAGAATGTTGCATTCAAATCACCCCTGACAGATGGCCATCCAGCCTCTGTTTAAAAGCTTCCAAAGAAGGAGCCTCCACCACACTCCGGGGCAGAGAGTGCCACTGCTGAACGGCTCTCACAGTCAGGAAGTTCTTCCTCATGTTCAGATGGAATCTCCTCTCTTGTAGTTTGAAGCCATTGTTCCGCGTCCTAGTCTCCAGGGAAGCAGAAAACAAGCTTGCTCCCTCCTCCCTGTGGCTTCCTCACATATTTATACATGGCTATCATATCTCCTCTCAGCCTTCTCTTCTTCAGGCTAAACATGCCCAGCTCCTTAAGCCCCTCCTCATAGGGCTTGTTCTCCAGACCCTTGATCATTTTAGTCGCCCTCCTCTGGACACATTCCAGCTTGTCAATATCTCTCTTGAATTGTGGTGCCCAGAATTGGACACAATATTCCAGGTGTGGTCTAACCAAAGCAGAATAGAGGGGTAGCATTACTTCCCTAGATCTAGACACTATGCTCCTATTAATGCAGGCCAAAATCCCATTGGCCTTTTTTGCCGCCACATCACATTGTTGGCTCATGTTTAACTTGTTGTCCGAGAGAATTGGCCATCTGCAAGGACGTTGCCCAGGGGACGCCCGGATGATTTTTTGATGTTTTATCATCCTTCTGGGAGGCTTCTCTCATGTCCCCGCATGAGGAACTGGAGCTGATAGAGGGAGCTCATCCACCTCTCCCCGGATTCGAACCTGCGACCTGGGAAGGTGTCTCCACTGGACTCCAAGGCAGCATTTTTTACTGTCAAACAGCAATTACTATCAGGAAGTTCTTCCTGACGTTTAGGTGAAATCTTTATAGTTTATAGAAGACTGAAATCAAGGTGGGAAATGTATTGTTGTTCCATTGTGTTCTCCCAAGAAATGTTTACTAGGGCTGGGTAACCACGGAAAAATTTGTTTCTAAACTCGATTCGTTTCCAGGGGGCGCTAGCGTTTCCAAATTCTAAATACTTCCGAAATTTTGAGATTTCAAAATTTCGTTATTTACGAAATTTCGTTAATTTCGAATCGATTCGTTAATGGCGGACGCGATTGCGCAATATGCTAAAAAAACCTCCAAATGGGACAGGGGGAACTTCTGAAGCTTCCCTCTCCCTCTGTTGTTGACTGTTGGTGTGATAAAACACACAACAACTATAAAATTTGCACCAGACATGCGAAAATAATTACGAAATAATTACGAAATAATTACGAAAATAATTACGAAATAAATTGAAAAAATTGTTTCGAATCTAATTTACTCCTCACACTATTCCTGCATGGCTCAATATCAGATCGTAAGCTAATTTAAATACGAATTAATAACGAATTACGAAATTAATGAACGAAACCGCCCAGCCCTAATGTTTACCTATTAACAAAAAGTGTCCTATGGGCCATATGTTGGGTAGGAATAAAAGCATTCAAACAGGCCATTTTGTCTTCTCAACTGGAAGTTACAAAGCATCTCTCTTGGAGAATTGTAGTGTAAACGACTAGCTGAAGAAGTGAATGCTACAGCATACAAAATAGAGAGATAGAAAGAGTGAGGGCGATTAGGAGATACGGAGTGATTGAGAGATAGCAAAACAGAGGGATGGAGATACTCACAAATGCAATGTTTCCCATCATCCTTCAGCTGGTAATTCAGCCGGCATCGGCACTGGTGTTGGGACAGAGTAAGTTGCACACAGTCATGTTCACATCCGCCATTGTTGATAGCGCAAGTGTTGATGGCTATAGGGAATACAATGAGAAAGAATGGTTGCTTACTTATAATCGTTGTTCTGTCACGCGCTGGGCCTGTAACAACTGTCTTTTCTATAGGACGTATACTTTAAGCCCAGCTTAACGCTTATACTGAAAATTGAACTGACCTTGGGAGGCATCCAATTGTTACAGAACATTAAAGAAAATGATTTGTATTTCAGTTTCTAAATTCACCACCACCGCCATCTTTCCCGCATGTTTCGGCTATTGATTCGTATGCACAAATTTAACTATTTTTATCCGAAATACGAATTAAAAACAAAATTATGCACAAGCCTAATATACATATGCTAGTCAGAACCTCCCTGTTGTGACACCTTTACAAAGTTCTGGAGAGACTTATTTTGCATAGCATTATGGAAAAAAATAAACCCCTGTCTGATTCCACAGCAAGCTGGCTTCAGGAAAGGCAAAAGCTGCACATCGCAAGTGCTGAACCTGACTCAGCACATAGAAGATGGCTTTGAAAGGCAGCAGATCACAGGAGTTGTCTTCGTAGACCTGTCAGCGGCTTATGATACTGTGAACCACCGCCTCCTCCTGAGAAAAATGTATAATATCACAAAGGACGACCACCTCACCGCCTCATAGGAAACCTGCTACAAAACAGGAGCTTTTTTGTTGAGTTCCAGGGCCAGAGAAGCAGATGTCGGAAACAGAAGAACGGCCTGCCTCAGGGGAGCGTGCTTGCTCCATCCATGTTCAACATCTACACAAATGACCAGCCACTGCCAGAAGGGACAGAGAGTTTCATCTATGCCAATGATTGTGCCATTACTGCTCAAGCAGGGAACTTTGAGATGGTTGAACAGAAGCTCTAGATGCTCTCACTGCCTATCCTTAACCCACCTAAAACACAGACATGTGCATTTCACCTTAAGGACAGACAAGCATCCTGAGCTCGAGGATGACCTGGGAAGGAATCCCACTGGAGCATTGCAGCACATCCAAATACCTGGGAGTCACTCTGGACCGTGCTCTGACCTACAAGAAGCACTGCCTGAACATCAAGCAAAAAGTGGGTGCTAGAAACAATATCATACGAAAGCTGACTGGCACAACCTGGGGATCACAACCAGACACAGTGAAGACATCTGCCCTTGCGCTGTGCTACTCGGCTGCTGAGTATGCATGCCCAGTGTGGAACACATCTCACCAACTAAAACAGTGGATGTGGCTCTTAATGAGACATGCCGCATTATCACGGGGTGTCTGCACCCTACACCACTGGAGAAATTACACTGCTTAGCCGGTATTGCACCACCTGACATCCGCCGGGAAGTGGCAGCCAATAGTGAAAGGACCAAGGCAGTGACATCTCCAGCTCATCCCCTGTTTGGGTATCAGCTAGCACACCAACAACTTAAATTAGGAAATAGTTTTCTAAGATCTACAGAGGCACTCGCTGGAACACTTCAGCAAGCGAGAGTCCAAAAGTGGCAGGCTCAAACCCAGCACCTCAACCAACGGCTGATACCAAATGAGAGACTCCCCTGGGCACACAGAAGACTGGGCGACTTGGAAGGCGCTGAACAGACTGCGCTCTGGCACCACGAGATGCAGAGCCAACCTGAAGAAATGGGGCCACAAAGTGGAATCCACGACATGCGAGTGTGGAGAAGAGCAAACCACTGACCACCTGCTGCAATGCACCTGAGCCCTGCCACATGCACAATGGAGGACCTTCTTGCGGCAACACCAGAGGCACTCCAAGTGGCCTGATACCCTCATGGGTGTAGTTGATCTGGCCCTGGGGACTTGAACTCATTTAGAGCGGCCAGGTATTCCTGGACAACTTGTTTCCCAATTTGGGGTTGGATGTCCTCTAATCCCTCATCCACTCCATCTTGTTGAGGTTGGAGATGACTTTCTTTTTGTGAGAAGACTGAGGCAAAGGAGGTATTAAGTAGTTCTATCTTTTCCCTATCAGCATTGCCCCATCTTCTCCTCGAAGAGGCCCTATCGCCTCCTTGTTTTTCCTTTTTCTACTGACATAAGAAAAGAAGCCCTTTTTATTGTTTTTTATGTCCCTAGGAAGCCTGAGCTCGTTTTGTGCTTTAGCCTTGCAGACCTTTTCCCTACAGGTGTTGGCTATTTGGTTGAATTCTTCTTTGGTGATTTCTCCCTTTTTCCACTTCTTGTGCATGTCTCTTTTGTGTCTTAGCACAATTAGAAGTTCTTTGGACATCAATTCTGGCTTCTTTGCACAAAGATACTGGTCAGATACTGGTCAAAGGACATTTAATAGAATACCAAGTCTGCAAATTTTGTGTTTTGTTTGTTTGTTTGTCTGTTTTTTAATGCAATACAACTGGTTTGGTTCACTCCTGACACGATAAATAAATGTCAGAACCTGGAGAAAGTGGGATTGGTTGAATCTCATTGCTCAACCACTTACCCATGCGTCCCTCTTTGAACATCTCCAAACCCAGCTTGTGTATTACCAGAAGAATACTTTCCCTTCCAAGGAATAACCCCAGTTACACCTCGTAAATTTTCCGACTGTACATGTCAACTGTAAATGCTCTGTTTGCATTTACCATACGGAGTGCATTCCAGCTTGGGACAAGTAATCAGAACCAGAAGCTGTCCTCTGGCGAGGCACACAGCCATGAGCACATGTGCTGCAATATGGGGGGCTGGCAATTCTTGGAGGAGTATATGTGGCATTCCCCCATGTGAGGAAAAAAGATCAAACCAATAACATGGAACTTGGTTTGAGTACATGCCACCCGCCCCAATAGTTCTGCAAGTCAGCATTGAAATTGTTTTAGCAGAAAGACCAGGAGTTCTGTTTCACTGGAAAACAATTAGCTTCTTTTATTTATTTATTTATTTATTTATTTATTTATTTATTATAGTATTTATATTTATATTTATAGTATTTATATTCCCTGAGTACAAATACTCCGGCTTTGTACTCAGGGCGGATTACAATGTACATATACATGGCAAACATTCAATGCCATAGACACACAACATATATAGACAGACACTCAGAGGCTATTTAACATTCCAGCTTCTGCCACCAGGGGAGCTGTCGCTTCAACATCGTTTGTGACACTGATGAAGTACTTCCTCATTCTTTGCATACTTCCTGGAGATTTTTATGGTGTTGTAAATTGTAGTGTCATAAATTAGCCTCCCCGCATAAGTGGTATCTAAATTTCCTACTTGACAGATGCAACTGCCTTTTGGGCTGCAAAATTCGACAACAAGCTACACAATTTTGGTCGGAAGCTCACTCCGACCCGGGCTGGCTTCAAACTCATGACCTTTTGGTCAGTAGTAATCTTAATGCAGCTGACTCCCAACCAGCTGTGCCACAGTCCTGGTGTGACTTTTTGGTTTGAAAAAGAAAAAAATGATACTCCTCTAAGTAATGACCACTGGCCATCTGTCAGGGGTGATTTGAATGCAACATCCCTGCTTCTTGGCAGGGGGTTGGACTGGATAGCCCACGTGGTCCCTTCCAACTCTATGATTCTAGGAAGAGGTGAGTAGTTTTAAGGGAATTAGGGTTTATTTTTGTTTGCTGGGAGGTTAATAAAAAAGATTAAACTGTGATGCTGTAGAGCAGAGGAGAAGCTGAGATTGGCTCCTGTTTGCTTTTGTGTTAGGCAGATGTTTGTATCGAGAGGGCCCTTACCGTTACGAGCTCCTGAAGTACCGAAGATACCGAAAGAAATGGAGGAAACAGAAGAAACTATTTCCGTGCCTTCTACATATGATTATGAAAGTTGGAGAGTGGTGGAAGCAATAGGAAGAGGTTCAACTCCTTTGAGATGTTTTGGAGAAGAATTATATAAATACTCTGGACTACGGACAAGACAAATAAACGGGTCCAAGAGAGAATCAGGCCTAAACCCTCCATAGAAACCATATCAATGGGGAAAAGACATTAATGTTTGTCAAGAAGGCAGGAGAGATCGAGGAAGACCCAGTTCCAGATGGATGCAAGATCCGAGGAACCGTAGTTTAAAAGTAATTTCCCTGGGCAGAACAAACACATAATGAAAACCACAGATTCAGCGCTGGGTGGGCGGAAAAAGTCAAACCAAGTTTTCCATTCGTTTCTTTCTTTTCGAAAATCTGTGGTCACGCTTCTGTGCCGACAGGGTCAACAACACACTCAATTCCCAAAGCACAGTTCTGGAGACACTGCTCACTGAAATTAATGCCTGAAAGCACTGTGGCTTTCTCAGAAACATTGGGACCAGAACTAAAAATTTGGAAAAACAATAACCGCCTGTTTTTGTCCCATAATTCCCTTGTACTCTTTTGCTTTTTAGCTCTGGGAGTTTACATGAGCATGGCTCTGATGCTCCTCTCAACCTTCTTTTCTGCAGGCTAATAACTGCCTCTACTTCTCATGGAATTAATAATAATAATAATAATAATAATAATAATAATAATAATAGTCCTAGACACTTGGGAAGTGTCCGACGTGTGATCCAATTCAACAGCCAGCAGAGTGTCTGCTGTGGACTCATCTTGTTCTGCTGTGGACTCATCTTGTTGTGTTTCTAATAATAATAATAATAATAATAATAATAATAATAATAATCTATATATATAAAATCCAAAAGGGCGTCGTTAGGGGCCGCAAAACGCAAAAACCCCCGGACGAAAAATCACCAAACTTGGCGTACGCATACCTCAAACCACAAGGTATGCAGAACACTCATCACAACTCTAAAAAACATAACAACAAACTCACAATTACACAACCAAACGGAGCATGAGCAGAGGCGTCCTGGCGCGAGTTGCCCGGCGCGCGCACATGGCCACACCACGCCCCCTCCACGCAAGCCACGCCCCCTCCCATCGCCGCCCCGCCCCTTCCCCCATGCCAAACCGAGCGCAGCCTAGGCGCCAACGCTGAAGCCCCGGCCTGGTAGAGGGAACTCACCCACCTGTGTGCACTGGCATGGTGCACGTGCAGTGCGGGGGGCTGTCCACCTTCC